GCTCGCGGTGGTTCCCCGCGTTGCTTTCGTCTTCGCCGATGAGCCGGAGATACCATGCCCTTTTGGCGGAGGAGTGGTAAGTCAGCACGAGGACGGTACGGTACGATACGAGGTGCGCCCAAACTGTAACGGAGAGAGAGAAAGAGAGATTATGCGCAGTAAATGACGCATTGCGACATGCGTTGCTTGCATTCTCTGGAACGGACATTGCTTCCGGGCCCGGGGGCGAGGGTAAGGGGTGAGGGGAAGAGGGGAAAGGAAGGTGGGAGGCGGGAATGGGGCGGGATTACTGACCACTCCTTAAAGGTGTATTTACGCGGCGGCGAGTGCCGCAGGTGCTGAGTCACACGCGAGATCTCGTCCATCAGCACGAGGTGATACTCGGCGCGCGTCTTGGGCGGATCGGTAGGCAGGCTCTCTCTGGCGATTGAGGCAGCACGGCCGGGCGGCTTTAGCGTTGATGCCGACGCGCTGCTAGTATCTGTCTTGGTCGTTGTGGTCTTCTCTGGCGGAGATGTTGGGCCTGTCTCTCCTCTCGCGGCATCCTCTCGGGCTTTCTGATTGCTTTCCAAGTTATCGATGTCGCTAGCCGATCCTCCATCTTCCTCCTCGCCGCCGTCACCGTCGCCATCTTCGTCTTTGTCTTGACGCTCGCGGGCGGCTCCCAGGAAGCCCGGGGCGTCTTCTTCGATATCTTCGTCTACGAACAGCGCCCCGCACGATAGCTTCGACAGCACCTGTTTCGTCGACTTCCTAAAGCCGTGCTCCCCGGGGAGGATGGTTATATTTCCGAGCAGGAGCGTGCCATCCTTGACGCCCTTGACGATGGTGTCTCCGGCGTTCGATATGAGGACGGTCATGGTGGGCAGGGCCAGGAGAGACCAGAAGACGAAGAAGGCCTTGGCCGAGTTCGACACCGGCGTAAGGTCGCCGTACCCGACAGTTGTCAGGGCGGTGAAAGCGAAGTAGAAGCCGTCGAAGTAGGACCATCCCTGGTACGGAGCCTCGCATTCTTGGAAGATCTTTGCGCCAACCAGCCAGAGCACTACCCAGGTGCTGAATGATACGGCCATAGCGGTCCACCTTCTCCTTTTAGATGCTCTACTTGATGTTAGTTGTTATCCAGAACCATCTAGATTGTAAACGGCAGCGCGATGTGAACGACTCTTCGAGCTTCGAGCTTCAAGCAAACCGCGGCCCCTGAGGGAGAGTAACTAGAATAATAAATGTTGGCCACTTACTAACCCCCAATTAGCATTGCAAACAAAATAAGGGGCCCGCCTTAATCAACAAGATACAAGACTAAGATGCTGGAGTAGATTATTCTCTACATACCTGACGTTGGATCTTCCGCATCAGCTGGAATTCCTTCTGGCGGCGTTCAAATTCCGTCCATCGGGATCTCGAGGGAGAATCGTCCGCGTCCTCGTCAATCGGCTCAAAAATACCCCCTTTACCTTTCTGCCTGATGCGCCGAATCAATAACTGCCGTTGTCTCTCCAACATCCGCGCGTCGAGCCTATGCTTGCCTCGGTCGAGGATCATGCTTCGAATCGACCCAATCACCAGACCGAGACTGATAACGCCGACTAAAGCGTACGGCACGAGAAGGCCACGGCCGAGCCTGGTTTGAGGGGAGATATCGCCGAAGCCCACGGTGAAAAGCGTGACGTCGGCCCAATATACGGAGTCAAGGTAACTCCAGCCTTCTACCTCGGAGAAGACCAGAGCACCCACGAGCAAGTAGGTGAGGAAAAGGATAGTCTGGAGCATCAGCGTCCGCTGGCTCATGGTCAACTCGAAGTCCTTGCCGTAGTGGCCTGCCTGGGCACCCCAAACCGTGATGACCATGAGGGTCGCGACTATGAAGTAGAGGATGGCGGCGTACAGGCCGTAGTAGAAGGCTTGGGACCAGACATATTCGATCTCGGGCTCGAGGACGAGCGGCCCGCTAGCCGTGGCACATAGCGCTATGAGACATATCGCTGATATGTACCAGCCGACGATGGTTATCGGCTGCGCGATCGAAAACCGCACCCTCTTGGTCATGTTAAGCAAGAGGAAGACATTCGCAACCAGGGCGATAACGAGTTGGACACCGTTCACAGCCAGCAGCCAAGAGGGATCTTCGATGAAGATGGCCTTGGTGACATCGGAGTTGGGTAAAATCTGCTGTCGCCAGTTTTTGACCAAGGCGCAAATACTGAAAGCTGAAGCCACCGGCCCCAGCGTGCCAGCTATCATGGGGAATGCTGCCGAGGCAAACCACCAACGGCTGTATTGTGTTCAGGTAGTCAGCTTTAAATAATAATAAAAAAAGAGACAAGCTGGCTTTTTTACCTAGGATCAACATGGATCTGATCACCCATGACCCCATCGTGGTCCGTTTTGTTGATGGCTGAAGCATCAACAGCTTGTGCTTGCTCGTCGATGTTGCTATTTAGATTTGCATCGTCCATCTTCACCACCATGAAGGTCAATCCTCATACTTGACCGAATTTTAACTTGGCTGGGACATAGGACTCGATATCTTTCGATTGTCGTGTGGTGTCTTATTATATGTAACGTGAACGTGAAAATACAGAGGTGATATACCTAAACACCATTTCTCGAAGGCTGTTAGTTACATTCTATAAGACAGCAGAATACATTCGAGAACTGATGTTGAGATAAGAGTATATCAAGAACAATACGTATGTCTAACAAAAGTCATGGCAGACAAAGGGTCAGGCGGCCGAGATCCGGTGTGGATGGTGTGGATGTCCCCGTGGGATGACGTCGCTTGGCATCGAACCGTTAGAGATTTTGGAGACTGGGGCAGTGGGGGCTGAAGAGTGCTAGGATTAGGGGCCATTCCCTGCTGGAATGCTAGATGATTGGCACCCTGCAGCACGCTAAAAGCCGCCATCTTAAATCTGTCAAGTCCTAGGCCCCTCCCTCAATTTTTGTCGGCCGACGCGTCAAACTGCCATAATCGACTTGTATGCATTGTTTGCATCACACTAACGACGCGTTGGATAAGAGTCGATGGAGATAATTACATCTGAGATTGCTGGAATAAACGAAAGAAGATGAGAAGATGGATCCCGACTAGGAACTTAATATTTGCAGGCCTCCGAGGCCAGAAGCTCAGATGCTTCAGTACCGTTGTCAACGATGTAGAGCGAGTGAGTATTCGCAATGGCTCGTCAGGCACTATTACCATTGAGTAAGTGGTTGGTTAAGATGGAATGCAATGCAGAGAAACACATTCTAATTCATTCTAACCTGTGTGTACTAGTCTTCATAATCTCGCCAAGGTGTCGTCATTAGACCCCTTATTGGTATATCTGCCGCCCTACTCGACGGTCTTTACAGAGAAGCCTGCACAGCTGCCATTGTTCATGCAGAGGCAGCCAACAGCCGTCATCAACTATAGGTGGACTGGATTCACTGCTTTCGAGGCCGAGGACTTCCCCGCGCAATCAGGAGAGGATGGAGACACTCACCTATCTTGGCCAACTCCTATCCACGATGCCGCCAGGGCGTACGACTGGATTGTCGAGAACCTCGGACCGTCGACGTACACCCGCAGAGATATATACCTCTACGGCTCATACCTCGGAGCATCGCTAGCGACGTCGCTAGCCCTGACGGAGACGCACCCCCACGCGCGCATGGGCGTCCGAGGATGCGTCGCGTACAACGGGATCTACAACTGGACCATGTTCCTGCCCGACCATCCGATCCACCAGCTGCCGAAGCTGCGCATGACGAACATACTGGAAAAGATCCTGTCGCAGCCGGACGACCCCGTGTTCCGCGAGCTGAGGCAGCACGCCGAGGCGCTGTTCGGGCGGCCGGATAATCTGTTCGACCCCTTCGCGAGCCCGTGCCTGTTCTTCCACACGCCGGGGCTTCTCGTGCCCCCGGCGTTCGACGCGTCCGCCATCCACCCGGCGCCCGATCTATCCGTGCCGGAGGAAGATCCGCTCGGAATATTCGCGCCCGCCAAGCCGCCGAGGAAGAGCGCGCTCGTCTTCCCGCCGCGCAAGTCGACGCTGAAGATCCCCGAGACGCTGCTGCTGCACTCCACGCCGCCGCCCTTGCCGCCCTCGCTCCTGAGGCGGCGCCAGAGGCGCAAGAAGGAGCCCCTAGGGAACAGCTTCGCGGCGCAGGCCGAGGAGCTCGCCGCGCTGATGCGGAGGAGCATCGACAAGCTCGAGCTGAAGGAGCGCTTCCGGTGGGACGACCACTTCGAGGACTGGGACGGCGAGGCGGCCAGGAGGGTCCAGGTCTCCGACGTAGGGCTCAACGCGGGGGACTTCGAGCTCGATGGCAAGGGGGAGGAGATGGCTGCGGCTTGGCTAGAGGATCATATATCACATGCAAGGTGAGAGACTGGACTAAGTGCTACGCGCAGGTCCTAGCTCTTGGCGGCTTCAAGATGCAGGTCTAGTATATAGTACGATAGCACTGAGTAACTGCGGACACGTCTGCACCTGTGTGCTTCAGAGGTACGTGCTATCCGTTGACGGCCAGAGGGGGTAGATAAATATCCGAATTTGAACTCAATAGCCTAAGTTGGAAACGAATTACCTGCGCAAATGACCAGTTTGCGACAATACAAACCAAGAAAGCTACCAGGTAGGTACTCTAAAGATATTCTTTCCCACGTTCATAATGTGAAGAACTTGAGTGATTTCCTGCACACATTCCAGTCGACTTTGATTTCAGCGTTCTACGTGGTACCTCATTCGCTGCAATTTGATTTGAACTCCGGCATTATTCAAGGACCAACCAGCGGCACCACTCATCCGCCTAAACGAACCAGACCGACTCGACTAGTCGACTCCATTCCACATTCTACATTTACAAGGCTCGCTGTACTCAACTCAATCTCTTTCATCCCTTACATCACCCAAATTTCTAAATCCTAGGGCTGAGTCAGTTAGTGGGGCTGAAACTCACAGTCCGTTAGCTTTATAAAGCCAACTAAGAGAGCGGAATTCAACAACAGGGGTCTGATGGTCTAGTGGTAGGATTCTCGCTTTGGGTAGAACGGGCTAACAACCTGCTCAACAATGCGAGAGGTCCCGGGTTCAATCCCCGGTCAGACCCTCACATTTTTCATCTTTTGCCGTTTGATTCGACTACAATCGTAGAATGGAGTGGTAAATGGCCGGTGACTCTTTTTGACAATTTTATCAATAACGAGCGTGATCGGTCAATGCCTACTGCCTACTATTTATTGGTTACCTAGCAAAGCTTATAATTGTGGTCCTTTTGGTTGGCTCTATTATATCTATCCATGTTGTCTACCTCCTGAGATACGATGGAAGTAGAGTCAGAAGCAGCAGGTTCTTTGTCCAAATGTCCGTGTCGAGATGAAACAATCATGAAGATATATAAATTTCAATATACCATTAAATGCAGAGAGACCCATATCTACCTAATCCACCTAGCCGTATGCACCCAATCCCATCTACACATATAAAAAAAAACATCATGTTCTAGTCGTCATACGTCGTACGCGACACGCGGCTTCTACGCGCGTGCTCTATCGCCATGCAACCAAAACCAAAACGAAAACCCATACGTACAATGCAAGAGGTGGAATACGCGCGACCGACTCTCAGGACCCCCGCTTCCACCAGGGCTTCTTCTTCTTCTTCTCACTGTACCCCTCCTCCTGGACGTTGTGCCGGCCGACGATGGCCAGGAAGACCTGGTCGAGGGTCGTCGGCGTGCACGAGAAGTGCTCGATGCCGAGTTCGTCTTTGTGCTCCTCGAGGACGACGATCAGCCGGCCGACGGCGCTGCTGCTCGCGCTGCTGATGCTCTCGTCTGCTACCGCCGCCGCGCCCGCCACGTCCGCCGCCGGCACCGAGAACCGCATCTGCCCGTGGTACGTCTTGCGCTCGACGTCGGCGCCGGGCCACGTGTCGAGGACCCAGGCGCGCACGCGCTCCATCTCCTCGGGCGGCGAGTGCGGCGCCGTCCTGCTGACGAGGTGCACGTGGAGCGCGTCCCCGAAGCGCTGCCGCAGGTTCTCCGTCGTGCCCATGGCCAGCATGCGCTTGGCCAGGATGCCCGCGCGGTTCGCGAGCGCGTCGGCCTCCTCCATGCTGTGCGTCGTCAGCAGTATCGACCGGCCCCGCACGATGGAGTGCAGCGTCCGCCACATGATGCGCTTGGCCGCCGCGTCCAGGCCCGAGGAGGGCTCGTCGAGAACGACTACGCTCGGGTTCCCCATCAACGCGATGCCCAGGGACAGTTTCCGCTTGTTTCCGCCCGACAGCGCGTGCGCCATGCGGGTCGAGAAGGCCTCGAGACCCACGGCGCGGAGGACGGCCTGGACGTTGTGCTCGATGTCCGGGATACCCCGGATGCGGGCGTAGAACTGCAGATGCTCACGGACCGTCATGGAGTCGATGGCGTCGAACTGGGGACATACGCCGAGGTGGGCGCGAGCTTGGGCACGGTGGCGACTGACGGACGTGTTCTCGACGAGAACATCACCCCCGTTGGAGCTGGGCTGGATATCACCGCGGATCAAGGAGATGGTGGTCGATTTACCAGCACCGTTAGGTCCCAGCAAAGCAAAGACTTCGCTGTGCTGGACGCCAAACGTGACGTTATCCACAGCCGTGTTCTTGCCGAACGACTTGGTCAGGTTTAACACCCGCAGACCATCGCTCTCCTGTGCGTTGCTAGTAGTTACGCGAACGAGCTCGTTGGCCACCTCTTCATCCGAACCGGCTGCGTCCTTGGAAGACGGGACGCTCTTTTGCGTGAAACGGTTCAGAAGGGTTCGCCCTGACCCGCTGTCGTGCCACAGCAGAAACCCGAACAACAGGACCGATTGCAGTATCAGATACAAAATCGGCCCGCCATAAGCAAGCAGACCGCCGGGGTTGCTTTGGATCTGATCTCCGTCGCAGGTCACCGAGAAGAGGTTGAGAGCGAGGAACATGGCTCGCACGACCGAACCGATAGGTATGAAAATCGCTATCACGAAATGGGCGACCAGGATCGATTGGTCGATGTGGTTGACTGGCGCATAAGTGATCACGCACAGGTATGCGATCAGGTAAATCAGGAAGCCCACTGCCTGGCCAGCCGCGGAGAAAGCGTACGTCGACAGCTGGTTGCCGCAGAATAAAGAGATGACATACGAGAACAAGATAGAAGCCAAGCCATATAGCATAAAGATGAGGAAGAGATAGGCAACGTTATACCAAACATCTGACTGTGCTGCAAATATACCGGTGACGATTGCGGACGAGATGATCACAATTGCGAAATCAAATAGGGTATAAGATACCCAGAGCGGAAGGGAGCGCACTCCGTTCGAATATTGCAGTCCGCGGACGTTCCGCCGGCGCTCTATGTTTGGATAAAGGCCGTAGAAGGCGGGATAGATGGACATAGCCAAGCAGAAGTAGATAAGCAGCTGCAAGGAATCTCCGGTCGACGGGTTCCACGGGGTATCAAACGGCGCGTAAGCGGTGGCGATGCTCACGTTGCTCAACACAATGTTGAGGGCGTTTTGGCTAAAGATGGAAGTATATACGTCTCCCAGGTCCGCTTCGTATGTAATGACGGGTGCTGAATTTGCATCTCCGAGCCACCATCCGCCAGGCTTGATGTCCTTTCGCCTCTGCTCGACAAACGTGATGAAGTCGGCGAGAGAGTCGACGGGATGAATGCTCTCGAGAAAGGAGGATGCAGAACTCGAGTTACCGCCCGTGGTCACGCTGTCCGATCCTTGGTCCTGGCCCTGGTTTTGATTTTGGAGAATAGGAAGGAAAAGGCTCTGTACACTAGGGTTATTGACTTGCGCAGATGGGCCGGCGACTAAGAACAGGTTGTTATAGAGTTCTGAGGAACCTGAGGAATCGGACGTGGCTTGGCTAGCTGCGTTGCATCCGACTGGGTGCTGGTCCGTGACATAAAGGGATGTCAGAGCCGCGGCTATGATCGGAATCAGGAAAGCTGCTACATAAGGGAACCAGTTCGTTTTGAAAATAGTGCATCGCTTCATGAATAGTACCACTGTCTGCCTCATGTAGCCGATTGGTTGTCCCGATAGCAACTCTAACCCATCTTTCTCGAGCTCGCTGCCCGCTACAACTTTCTCGGAGCTCACTTGCTTGTCGTTACCAGCTTCGGTGGACGATACAGTCTGTGGTGGTGATATGGTACTCTCTCCTTTAACTTCTTCGGCAACCTGTAAGAAAACGTCCTCGATAGTCGGGTTGGAGAACTTATAATCGTGGATTCCCGCGGCCTCCAGGGAGCGGATCACGTTTGCGGCTAAGCTGGAAGACGGCGCAATGTAACTGATTACATCGAATCCTATCTTGCGAGTGACATTTGCAACCTCTGGGGGGTCCTTGATATCCCTGGCGTTAAAAACATGGACTCGGTAACCGGCACCTAATTTATCCTTGAGTTCGACGGAAGAGCCTTCGGCTCGCAATGTGCCTTTGGAGAGGATGGCAATGTGATCCGCGAGAAGATCAGCTTCGTCGAGGAAATGCGTTGTAAGAATAATGGTCCGCTTTCCACGTTCCGCGAGAAGAATGTCCCAGATCTTCCGTCGGGAAAGGGGGTCGATTCCGGAGGAGACTTCGTCGACGCAACAAACAGCACTCCCTCCGGTCAACATCATCCCGAGCTGCAGCTTTCGTTTTTGGCCGCCCGAAAGTGTCTTAGACATAGCCTTGATTTTTGGTCCGAGATCCACGGAGATAGCTAAGTCGCGGATCTCCTGTGTTGATGCAGTATTCCCTGGAGACTTGAGTTGATTAAAAATCTTTATGTGTTCTTCAACCGTTAACTCGTCCCACAAGACATTCTTCTGCGGCGCGATACCTAAGCCCCCAGTGCCATCGATCGTGATATCCCCAGAGGTCAATTTGCTGATACCCGCAATCGAGTCGAGTGTTGTACTCTTTCCGCTGCCATTGGCACCAAGCAAGGCGAGGATTTGTCCCCTTCTCGCCGTGAGAGTCAGCTTGTCAACGGCTACGACGGGTTCCTTTGGCCTCGAACTGAAGGGAAACCATCGAGCTAGAGGATTGGGAAAATAAATCTTCGTAAAGCCCTCTAGGCGCACTGCATCTTGCGGCGCCGTTTCAGCGGTTTGGCCTTGAAGAATCGTGCGACCCTTAGTAGTAGTGCCGTGGAGCACGCGCTCAAGATAAGCACCGAGGATAGGGTAGACAATAATCTGGATGACGAGAAACACCCAGAAAACGATACCGGGTAAGTTCCATGGGTTCTCGGGTGGTGTCTTCACCAGGTCTGCCGGAAACGAATATCGTTCATATCTAGCTATGAAGGTCATGAACCAAACAAAATTACAAGGCGTCTATAGTAGCGGTGAGTTAGTTATCAGTTCTTTAACGAAGAGTTTAAGACTTATAGGGGTATAGAGCACAAATTGGGTACTAAATCTGCCCAGATTGGCTCTGGCGGAGAATATAATAGAGGAAGACAGGAAACTATTGAAAATACATACGAAGAGCAAACTAAGAGTTGTGACTGTAGCAGTACTAGGAGACGTCAACGTTTGAGCTAGGATTGCTAACAGAATATACGCTATCGTTGTAACAACGCCTGACAACTGTGATCTGTTGAAGAAAGCAGCGCCGAGGATAGAGAGTGACGCCAAAGCGAGGCCGCAAAGGATGAAGTAGAGGAGCACAATCGCGACACTCGTATTAGCCCAGACTCCGCGCGCGATGATGAGCGAACCAACAACCCAGCCCGGAAGGTAGACCAAGGTAAACGCGATATGGTAAGAAAGCAGTCTTGCGACTTGGGCTTGCCATCTATACTTGGTAGGCATCATGGCGTCTAGCAACTGAGACATGCCTATCTCTCTTTCGGTGGCCATATGTCCTGTCATGTGATAGCAGACTCCAATGACAACAATAAAAAAGGATACAGCCAGGAAATTGGTCAATGAGGACTGGTACATTCGGCGAATCCTTGCTTCTCGTTCCTCTTCTGTCTCCGGGGTGAAGGGGTACTCGTTCGGCGTAGCCAGGAGCCGCGACTGGCCATTGGCATCGGAAAGACTCGAGATGGCAGCATCGACCGCCCGTTGC